ATTAATAAAATACGTTCACCTGATATTTCATAATTTATACTGGTTCATATGTTGGTCTTCATTTTTTTCATATGTTGGTCTTCATTATTTAGCCTATAGTCCAACTTCTTGCTTTGACAAACAAATAACAAAAGTGTCTTAACTTTGATTCAGAAGATTGATCTCTTGCAGATATCAAATAAAATCTCTCCTAAATATATCATGATTTCTTTTTGATACCTCTCTAATCATATTTTTTTCTTATTACTTTTTTCTATTCTTTAAAATTTGTTTTTAAAAATTCTAATGAAATATTCAAATCCATATCTGCTATATAAACTTTTTTAAATAAAAAGTACTCTACATATATACTTTCTATAATTTCCTTTTTTTTATTTTATATTTGAGTTTACATTTATTTCAATAATGAATCATATACATTTTCTTAAAATTAATATTGCTTCAGTGGTTTTATATTTCACAAGAACAACAAAAGGTAAATTTTATTTTTCTAAGAATTATATAAATTAATATTTTTTATGAACATTTAATATTAGAATTTAAATTTTAAAAAATCAAAAATATTAACTAAGGTTTTTGTGGGGCGGGTGGCGACATCTTTGATTTCGTGGGAACAACAATATTGTAGCCAATGGTGATAGTTGAATTTTAAAAGCATTCAAAATACTGAAAAGTTATTTTGAATGTTTTTCAATCAACTTTATTTATCTGAAAAAAATAAGAAACGTTAAAAAACTCACTAAACAATAATGTTTAAAAAATAAAAAAGGGAAAACAATCTAAAGTTTAGGGTTTACATTATACTTGTGTTGTTTTTAAAATTATAAACGTTAATTATTTGAAAAAAAATTATCTGATACATGTCCTAAGTTCATGGCCTTAGCATTCGTCATTTATGTGCTTTCTTATATCGACATTCCAATCACTCGGTGTACTATTGAAAACTTCAATTAATTGGCACCAAATTTGTTTAATGTCTGATATTACATCTCCTAGCTGTTTCTTATTTAAATTTGCAATTTATTTATTTTTGTTTAGCTTTTAACAAAGAAAATATTAAAAATAAAACTCCAACTCTCGCATCTATTGTATTTAAAAGATTTCCATATTTTTGGAAGATTAAAAATGTCATCTTGCATAACCATCATTACTTTGCACTATTTAGTTGATGCACATTGTATACTAACACTTGCTGCCACTATTGCACAAATAAGCTTCGGTCTAATCTTTCTATCATGAGATACCCAAGAACTGTTTGAGAAGTTTCTTCAAGAACTCTTTTCTTCTCAACTCTCCTCTTCTTACCTTGTCTTGCGTCTTCCAAACTTAAAACTTTCCTTTAATTTCATTCCCTGGATGTATATATTTCTCTCGCTCTCTCTGCCTTGAATGTAATGTCCAAAACGAATAGTATTTATAGATGGGGATTTGCATAGAAAATCAAAGTTACAACTAACAGCTATGCAAATCAGTTCATGCTTTCCTAAATCTCTTAAAAATAATCACATGATTTTTTTCACTTATACATATCTCATTAAAAATTCCAATTACAACTGCATGAAAAAGAAGATATCTTGATAATACCACCAATCAAATTCTCTTTTTATTTTTACCCTAAATTTCAGAATACTCTTCTGGAACATAAAGATTTTAGCTAAGGAACGATATGAGATAATGGTAACAACAAAAAATTAACACCTTCAACTAATTTAAATTTAACAAAATAAAATTTATCTTATACTTAATAAATAAATTTAAAATAACTAATACCTAATAAGGATTTTAGCTAAGGCTGTAACTATTAAGAAAAATTTAAGAATACCCTTCTGGAACATAAGGATTTTAGCTCAGATTTTTTAAATTAACTATTTTAACTTATACTTAATAAATAAATTTTTTAAAATGAAATTATACGCCACAAAATTTTTTTTAATAGACTCGGACAAGGCAGTGAAATGGATGTGAAACTTATCATATAAGCTCAGCAGTATAACATATGAAATTATAAATGAAACTCATATTTAAGACTAATGAAAAATTAATAGTACAAAATCCAATACAAGCTCTCCAACAAAAATTAACAACTTCAACTAATAATATACATCGTAACAAAAAAAATTAACAAACAAAATACAAAATTTAGCAAACAGCTGTCCTTCAACGCACATTCATCGGGCTAAATTATTCATACAAAAGTTTGGACATATTACATATAATTGCTTTATAAACTAAAAAATCAGACAATTATTCAACAAAAAAATAAAAAATCTTAATAAAACTGCACTTACCTCTCTTTCTTTTCTCTCTGAATTCAAGGATTTGCGGGCTGCTACATTTTCATCACAACCCTGCTTTTATAACCGCTTCCCGTCTAACTCCCAACGCCATCGGCAGCTCCCAACCACTCAATATATCGATGCACTGAATGCCAACCAGCCACCACAGACTGCCCGCAAAAAACGGATATGGTCGGCGATAACGCCAAAAAGAATAAGATATCGTGTGTTGGTATTTGTGGCAGCCAAAGAATACGCCTAGCTTATAAGCGTATTCTTAGGAATGCGCTCTATATTGTAGCGCATTCTTAAGAATGCGCTCTAAGTATTAGCGTATTATTTAAATGCGTGGTTTCTGCTAGCGTATCGTATTAATACGCTGAACCGAATGGCGTAAACGCTGCTTTTAAAATTATTCCCCTATTACGCTTTTTCTCCTAATATCGACAACAACCGTGCTTCTTCCTAAAATTTTGCCTATACTTTTTTATAATATTTGGCCTGTGAAGTGTTTTGCTTTTCGTGTACTCCATTTGTTCACCAAGTTTCTCTCTCTCCCTTCGCATCTCTCCGTTTCTCTCCCTATTTCTATTATTTTATTTATTTTAATTGAATACGTCGAATGATATAGGACATGCATCAAATTATTTAGCATATTCAGAGTACACAAAATATTTCCCAAAAAAAAAAAGAGTTGACAAAATTATTTGATTATTTTGCTCTTTTTAATTATTTTTTAAATATACTCTTTGAGCTAATTTTAGAAAATAATACGCTCTTGTTTAAATTTGGCCCTTTATTAACATATATGCCACGTCACTCCACTCACTCCAAGGTCAACGCCCAACACAACCACATCATCAAACCGTCACCTTTAACGCATGGCCGCTAAACTCAGTTCTCCCATGGCCCCTACTCGTCGACGCATGCTCTTCCTCCTCCTCAACCTCCCCCTCCTCCACCGTCCAGCCGCCACCCCCGTCGCCATCGAGTTCCTCTACCCCAATTTTACCGCCTCAAGCATAAACTTCATTGAGAAAGGAGGCCTCTTTCTCACCTCCACCTCCTCCACCTTCTCCGCCATACTCTCCTCTGACTCCCCACAATCCTCCTTCGTCTTCTCCATCCTCCACACTCCCACCTCTACAATTGTCTGGTCTGCAAACCCCGCTGCTCCGGCCCCATACAACTCCGTCCTATCCCTCTCCACTGCCGGCCTCGCCATTTCCCTCCCAAATGGCTCCTTCCTTTGGTCCACCCCTGTTCTTTCCCGACACGCAGCCGCCCTCCAACTCACTGAATCCGGCAATCTCCTCCTCCTCGACGCCGCCAACATGTCTTTGTGGCAATCTTTCGACCACCCTACAGATACCCTTCTCTCTTCCCAGCGCCTCCCCGTTGGCTCATCCCTCACCACCTCCGCCGGCGACTACCGCCTCCTCGTCAACTTCGAAGACGCCATCCTCTTCTGGTCGAATGGAGATCAGCAGTACTGGCGCCTGTCGACTGATCCGCTCTCGGTGAAAGACCTCAACGATCCCGTGGCCTACATGGCTTCCAATGGCTCCGGGCTTTATCTCTTCTCCGCCGGCGGGAGAGCGGTTTATTTCGTTAACCTACCTTTGACGAAGCTTAAATTCATCAGACTGGAACCCACCGGCCAACTTGTCGTCATGGGATACTCGGGCACAGGCTCCGTACTCAATAACGAGCTCGTCGCTCCAAGCGGTGCTTGCGATCTTCCGCTGTCCTGCGGCAAGCTGGACGTGTGCACGGTGCAGAGTAGAGATGTCGTTTGCAACTGCCCGGCGTCGTTAAAAGCGTTGCCTTCCGGCGGTTGCTCGCCGACCGATAGCTCCAGTTTAGCCGCCATATCTGACTGCGCCGGCAATAAGAACCAATCGGAAGCATCTTATCTGAGCCTAGGAAGTAAAACCGGCTACTTCGCCAATAAATTCGCGATCCCAGCTAGAGCCGGCGGGAACTTCTCGTCATGCCGTAGCCTCTGCACGGTGAATTGCTTCTGCTTGGGCTTTTTCTATCAGAATTCTTCAAAATCCTGCTTCTTGATTAAAAATCAGATCGGGTCACTTCTTAGCACTAGCAACCAAGGGATTGTCGACAGTGGTGAAGGATACATCAAGATCCTACCTTCGACGCAACCGCAGCATGATTCCGCTGAAAGCTCCAATTTTGTCCCAATCCTCTTGCCATCCATCGCCGGCATACTCTTCGTCGTTATCCTCTTCGTAGGAATCTATTGTCTGCGCCGCCATAAACAACGGAGCGGCAACAACAAGCAAGCCCCATTGAGGGAGATATATTTAGGCCGGAAACCCTGGTCACAGCTCACTAGCGACGATAGCTCCACCAGAGACATCTTAAACTCCGAGGACTCCGAAAACTCCGACGAAATTTCCATCAAAGGCCTACCGCAACGATTCACTTACGCTGAACTCGTCACCGCAACTAATAACTTCTCTACCAAAATAGGTTCCGGCGGCTTCGGCGAGGTGTTTCGCGGCGAGCTCCCTGATAACACCACGGTAGCCGTAAAGCGCATCAGCGCCGGCATCACTGGAAGCATCCATGGAAAAAAGGAATTTTGCACGGAGATCGCCGTCATCGGCAGCATCCACCACGTAAACCTGGTTCGCCTCCGCGGTTTCAGCGCCGAAGGCCGCCGCCGCCGCCTCCTTGTCTACGATTACATGAACCGCGGCTCACTCGACCGTTCCCTGTTCTGCACCGGCGGCCCTGTCCTGGAATGGCAGGAGAGAATGGACGTAGCCGTCGGCGCGGCGCGAGGGCTAGCCTACCTCCACTCCGGCTGCGACCGCAAGATTGTCCACTGCGACGTCAAGCCCTAGAACATCCTCCTCCACGACGTAGGCGGCGTCAAGATTTCAGATTTCGGCCTCGCGAAACTCATTAGCCGCGAACAATCCGGGCTCTTCACGACGATGAGGGGCACAAGAGGGTATCTTGCGCCGGAATGGCTCGCCAATTCGGCCATATCGGATCGAGCCGACGTGTACAGTTACGGGATGGTGCTTCTGGAGATTATTCGAGGGAAGAAGAACTGGTTGGTAGAGAGCGATACATCCGAGGGATGGTCAAACGTGACCTCCGGCGAAGGGGAAATGGGGTATTTTCCGATTCTCGCTTTAGAAATGCACGAGAAAGGAAAGTATTTGGAGCTTGCGGATCCGAGGCTGGAGAAGAGGGTGAGGGAGGAGGAAGTGGAGAGGGCAGTGAAAGTGGCGCTCTGTTGCTTACATGAGGGGCCGGCTCTGCGGCCATCGATGGCCGCAGTGGCGGCGATGCTTGATGGAAGCATGGAGGTGGCGCGCCCGAGGCCGGAGGAGCTTGCGTTTCTCCGGCTCCTATGTGGGAAGAGAATTGTTGATTTGGGGAGCTTCGGCGTGAATCTGACCGATGACGATGAGGTGGGGAATGGGACGGCTTCTCGGTCCGACGCTTTTGCGCCGCGGCCGAAGATGTCTCAGGCTGAAGGGAAAGGGTTTAGCTCTTTGTGGTAATTGTGAGGCTCGGCTGTCGGGAATCATCAAGCAACATTAATTAAATTTTTATTTTATAAATCATTATGAATTATTCATAATTTTTTTTAGAATTTTAAGTAAATATTCACAAATTTATATAACTTTTAATCTATGCCCTTAGGGCAACTCCAATGGAACGGCATTCTTCTTTCACTCCAACTAAGTGCCAATGCTTAAGTCATTTGATCGGGGTCGCACTGTTTATCCGTCATTTTTTTTAATTCTAAAATCCATTATTAATTTTAAAATTCAAGTTTAGAAATTTTGTATTACTAATTAAAATAATAAATTAAAAATATTTTATTTTCTTAGAAATCTAAATTTTTTCACATAATTAATTAATTTAAGTTACAACATTAAGATAAAAATTTATGAGTTTTTCGGTTGGAGACATATTTTTTATTATAATAAAATAATAAAAATCAACATATATACATTTTTTTAATTATAATAGATTAATTCAAAAATTCGATAAATAAAATTTATGATTAAAATTATATAAAATGAAATATGGGAAAGAATATATTATGAATATTCTTTTTTTGTGTGTTAGAAAATAGAGTTCGGTTGGAAACAAGTTAATGCATTTTGGAGTGAAAAATAAACTTTGGTTGGAGATGCCCTTATAACAGAGAGCAAAATTCTCGATTGCTGGAGTAATCGTCAGGCCATGAAGTATTCATAGTTGAATAAAATTTGTATATTTAGTTTTTATTAAAAAATAATAAAACATTTAAATTCTTATAAAAGATGCATAATAATGTCATCTATTATATAAAAAGAACAATTCATTCTAATGATAAAGAATTAATGTAGTCTATTATATAAAAAAGAACAATTAATAGAGTTTTTATTTTTAGGATTTTATAAATTCTAGAGGTAAAATGTTTCTCTTCAAGCAATTTTGAATGAGTTTGCATTAACCATTGAGATAACATCTTTTTGTGGCTTGTTGGAAGCTTTTTTCCTCATTAGCTTCGCTGACTTCCTTTATGAAATAATAACTCGTGCTAATCCAACTGTGTTTGCTTGATTCGACTCTTTATATGATCAGAAAAGCTTCTTTCTTCTTTTAGTGAAACTTCAAATTTTATTGATAAATTAAAATATTCTTCTTGGAAAATCAAACCAGAGGAGAGGACGACTCACACTGAATGATTATGTAAGAAGTCTATGATATGATAGAGATTTGATTTTATAACTTTCAAGATTACCCACCGCTACTTGTCCGGGTGGTGAAGAACCGGCTGGAAAAAGCTTAGGTCTCTGGTTCGAATCCCTTGGCAATCAGTGAAAGCCTTAAGTGTTGGCCCGTGTAAATTGGTGTGGGTTGCATGCTAGGTCGACCAGGGTTTTCAATGGCCTGAGGACAGTGCTTCCTCGTCACAAAAAAAAAATTCAAGATTCACACACAACTCTCCTTGGCCTATTGGTTGAGAGCTTAGGCTTCCAACTAAGAGGTCTAGGGTTCGAGTCTATGTATATGCATTGTGTGTGTGAGTTTGCCTTAAATGGTCTAAATGTCCTAAAAAAAAACTTTCAAGATTCTTTCCCTGTAACTAAATAGGTTGTCTTCCTCATTGAGGGGGGTGAAGTAGATGTGACCATCACAAGTGGATGAAGCTTATGCGGTGGGAAAATTTTTAAAGAACCAATGCAAATAGGGCAATTAGGATATTCAAAGAAGATTTGTGTTTTTAGGGGAATATAGGAGTGCTTAGAAACGATCATGTTATCTCACCATCACTAATGGAGAAAGAGAGTGGTGAGCTGCTAGGGGGTATGTAGGCAATCATCTGAGTGCAGTCGTGCTGATATTAGAGTCTGATTTGTCATCTTTCACTTTCTGAAGTTAACAATGATGTGGAGATTATTGATTTGGACTTATTTCTAAATCTTAATATTGTTAATTTGGATTTTCTTCCAAATCATAATAAAGCTTTATTTGTAAAGCTTTAATGGCTCATTGATTAGGGAATTTATTATTTCCTAATTATTTGATTTTATTGTGGATTTGATTAGATCTTAGTTTACAAAGTCTTTCCTAAATTGTTTGCATCAAATTCTATTTAAAGGGGAAAGGGATATTGTATTGGTAAGAGAGAAAGCTTGAGAGCTATTGTAATTCCCTATTGTTCTCCAATATAGTGAAATCATCCCCTCCCCGTGAACGTAGGCATCTTCGTCAAACCATGTAAACCGTCATGTTCATTGTGTATGTGTTGTGTGAATTTATTTCAACTATGACTGTTTGCACAACATTTGGAAATTAGGGTTATTGTTAGTAGAGACTTAACGTCAGAAATTGATGATTTATAATACACCACAATCAACATATTAAGCAAGCTAGTTGGCAAGCAACTAAGTTGGGTCAACTTAAGATCTAACTCAAATAATGAGCTTTAATTAAGAGTTGAACACGACCTCATGGTTTAATAAGTTTTTTTTGGACAATTACGCCATTTAAGCCAAACACACACACATAAACTTACGCATGACTCGAATCCAAAACCTCTTGGTTGATAACCAAAGCTCACAACCAGCTAACCAAGATGAGTTACAAACGCACAAGCTCATAAACAAGTTGAGTTCAAGCTAGTTCACGAACTCACTTGACTCCCCCACACCCCTTTGAATCTTATCCTTTCATTTAAAAGAAGAAAGAAAAAACCTTGTTTAATTTTATCAATATCAATTGCTAGCCGTTGATCAATTGAACCACATATTTAAATTTGGAATGGGCCGAAAAACCTTACAAATTTGACCGAGAAATTTGTCGTTTTAAAAAAACGGCCCACAATTTTTGGGCCCCTAGAGAGATTCAACAACCCAAACTCTTAAACAAAATAAAACTGGTATCGGAAACTTCACAAACAAATAAAAAAAGTTATAATATAAATCACTTATAGGCTATGAAAATTAATTCTTATTATTTTTAAAATAATTTTTCATATAAAAATTTCAAATTCAAAAATCTTTTATATTAAAAAGTTATTTTATAAAGCATTAAGAAAGATATTCTAAATGAAGCCTAAAGTTTCATTTGGAACTAAATCAGCTTTTTAATAAAAAAAAAAAATTGTTAAAAAAATTTATTTTAGAAATCAAATAAAAAAATTGTCCCAAAAGAAACCAAAATCTTGAGTTATCTAATTAAATCTCAGGTTTTAGCCAAATTATTGGATCCGATCCCAAGATAAATGAGATTTATCCATATTTTTCAGCAGAGCAAATTTTTGCTTATTTGTAAAAATTAGGTCTATTTCTATGCTAACTATTGGCTTTATTTTGACCATATTAATGATAAATTATATATATTGAAAGAAAGAAAGATAAATGATTATTATAAAAAGCTAATTGCTAAGTCATATAAATTGATAATTATAATAAGAATACATTAATGATTGGTATTAAGATTATGTTTTTAAAACTAGTCATGAAGATTACATAGAGAAAATATTTCAAAAATAAACTTAAAATTAGTGAAAAAAAAAGGATGAGTAAATGATATGTAATATAACTTAATTACTATGATATTATCAATTAACAATAAATGTTATTAGAGAAAACAAATATGTTTTGGTACGATCAGATGACATATATTGATTTTGACCTCTAGAAGAATTGGGATATATTTAAGGATATAAATTTCAGAGTTAAGCTATTAAAATAAAGAAATAACTGATCATTAAGTATTATATGTGATATATCATCAAAGAATTATTTTGATCAGGCGCGAATCTCGAGGCAAAAAACAAGTTGGAAGCTTCAAAAATTAAATCTGGGACCATCTAAACTCCGATTCCAGCGAACTTAACGTCTCGGAAATGCGAACACAACGACACCAAATTCAACTCAATCCGAGCCCAAAATAGTTCAAATCAAAGATCCGAAGCGCATTTGGAAGGTTAAATCAATAATTTGGATTTCCAAAAAAAATCCAAATATGGCATATTTATAATCGAATCAAGCGGCTTGACAAGACGAATCCAACGAGCCCAAGATCGTCGAATGCTAATATCATTAGAGCCTTCAAATGCCTGATAAATGGTCTACTATCAAGGGATTCAATATCGATCATCCATTCAAATCACTCCCAACTTACCCCTGATATTCCTCCTATTTATTGGCCATGTCATTCTCATAAAATTATAAATAGCTCATCACTCTTAAGAGGGGACCCAAGCAAGAAGAAAAGAGAATGAAGGAAGAGAAGGAAGAAGTTCCTTCTCCACCACTGCTAGAGTTCTACCCAAACTCTAAGTGACGTCGGAGTTCCGCCCGACCTTCAAGTGATGCTGGAGTTCTGCCCAACCTCCAAGTGACGCCGGAGTTCCTCTCAACTTTCAAGTGACGTCGGAGTTCCGTCTGACCTCCAAGTGGCACCGGAGTTCCTCCTAACTTCCAAGTGACGCTAGAACTCTGGCCAGTATTCTGATATCCGTTTGCAACTGAATTTCAACCTGAGAGTTGATTATTGTAATATTATCTTCCTAAATTTTAGGGACGATTCAGCCTCTTGTAACTTAAACAAATACTAGTGGAATTCTTTCAACTGGGCGTGGCCCCGTGGTTTTTCCCTTTCCAGGGTTTTCCACGTAAAAATATTGGTGTTTTATTTCTCTTGTAGAAGATAAAGAACAAAAAGGGAGAAGACAAAGGAAGAGAACTGGAAATAGTAAACTATTATTCATCTCATTTCGTAGATACATAGGTCGTATATATAGGTAATTATACAGGATGTAAGACCACGTGTGAGCATCTGATAGGTTGCTGGAGGAGTGTACTAATTGCCCCCGTCAAACCGAGCGTTAATCTTGAATGGTCAGTTTGGATCTTAATTCTTGAAATCGGGGAGTAGATAATGGCTTCGTGAGAATGTTCGCAATTTGGAAGGTTGTCCCAATCGGTAGAAGACGAATAGCTTGATTTTGAATGTGATCACGAACAAATCTGTGATCTATCTCAATGTGCTTAGTTCTGGCGTGATATACCGGGTTGTGAGTAAGCGCTATAGCCGACATATTATCACAGAATAGATCCATGTGTTGATTGTGCGGAATGAGGAAGTCATTGAGTAGTCTTTTGAGCCAGATGGAGTCCGCAATAGCCGCCGCTAGAGCCCGATACTCCGACTCCGTGGATGATCGGGAAACCGTAGCCTTCTTTTTAACAACCCAGGATATAATAGTATCGCCTAAGAAGGTGCAGTGACCAGTCGTGGACTTCCTCGTGGTAGGGTCGCTGGCCCAGTCAGCATCAGAGTATGTCTTGATCTTGAGCTGAGCTTTGAGAATGGGTAGTCCGAACTCCACGGTTCCTCTGATATACCGTAGCAAACATTTGAGGAGGTATACATGCTGAGAAGAAGGATCATGCATATGTTGAGATAGCACATTGACCGCGTAAGCAATGTCTGGACGGGTTAGAGTTAGATAATGTAATGATCCAGTGATTATGCGGTATGTGCTGGGTTCCGATAGCATAGTGTCCTCGATGACTTCAGTTGGAAGTTTCGTACACGACGGGTTGGCTAAAGAATTACAATGTGTTAGATTAACTGAAGTCAAGATAGATGTAGCATAGGAGGCTTGAGAGAGAAAGAACTTATCTTTGAATTTTTGAATTTTGATACCCAGAAAGTGATGTGCCGGTCCTAGATTTCACATGTTGAACTGAGAATGAAGCTTGGAAAGAACGTTGTTGATGGTTTCTTGGTTGTTGTCGGTGACCAGAATGTCATCGACATAGACGAGGAGGAAGATTTGCGACTAATTGTGATGAAACGTGAGAAGCGACGGATCAGCTTGACTTTGTTGGAATCCGAGAGTGAGAAGATGATTTGTAAATGTAGTGTACCACTGTCGGGGCGCCTGCTTGAGCCCATAGATTGATTTTCGCAGCCAGCATACGTAATTTGGATGTGTGTTATCTATGAATCCTTGCGGCTGAGCCATATAGACCGTGTCTGTAAGTTGGCCGTGGAGGAAGGCATTCGATACATCCAGTTGTTGCACGGTCCACCCTTGAGAGAGAGCTATGGTGAATAGCATACGAATGGTTGCAAATTTTGCTACCGGACTGAATGTTTCGCCATAGTCGATGCCGTACTCTTGCTTATTTCCTTGAGCCACGAGGCGCGCCTTGAACCTGGCCATCGAACCGTTCGAATTGAATTTCTTACAAAACGTCCATTTACAGACTAAGATGGATGCCTTTGGAGGAGGTAGTATGAGACACCATGTGCCATGGTTTTTAAGAGCTATGAACTCTTCGGCCATGGCTTGTCGCCACTCAGAGTGACTGTTGGATTCAGCGAAGCTAGTGGGGTCTGGATCCAATGTGGACGAGGCTGTGGCGAGGAGATTGAGACTCTTGGATGGTTTTAGGGATCCTGTTTGCAGCCTAGTAATCATGGGATGCTTGGTTTGTATAGTCTGGTGAGTCTAAGTTGTGTCCTGGACAGGAATGACGTCTGAAGTAGTGTGACTGGGAGGCGGGAGCAATGTTGGCTCATGGTGTGTTGAAGCTGATGTTTGTGCTGGGTAGGTTGGGTTGGAGAGTTTTATGTCTGATGCCTTAGAGGCCGGTAGAAGCAGAGAAGGGGGGATGTCCCGAGGTTGTATCTGCGGAGGAGAAGTAGTTTGATTAAAAGGAAATGAGTCTTCAAGAAATGTAACATGACAAGAGATGAATGTTTTGTGAGATTCCCTGTTGAGACATTTGTATCCTTTGTAAATTTCTGAGTAACCCATAAAGACGAAGGAGCTGGACTTGGGTTGGAGTTTGTTCCGCGAGTGGCTAGGTAGAAGAGGAAAGCACTCGCAGCCAAAGGTCCGGAGATGATCATAATCCGGATGTTTGCAAAACAGAAGTTGCAGCGGTGATTTGTATTGAGTGTTGGGATATGGCATACGGTTGATGAGGTATACCGCGATTGAGCATGCTTCAGGCCAGTATACCAAAGGAACAGATGCCCTGTGAATGAGAGATCTTGTCGTTTCCACTATGTGACGATTTTTGCGTTCTGATACACCGTTTTGTTCCGGTGTATAAGGACACGAGGATTGGAGCTGGATCCCTTTGGATCGGAGAAATGTATGCATTTGTTGATTGATGAACTCCTTGCCGCCATCTGTCCTAAGGACTTTAATTTTTCAATTAGTTTGATTTTCAATGTATGTAGTAAATTGTATGAAAACAGAAACAACATTTGATTTATTCGTAATCGGAAAAAGCCAGGTGTAACGCGAAAAATCATCCACAAAAATAACGAAAAAACGGTATCCCTGAGTAGAGGTAACCGGAGCCGGTCCCCATACGTCAGAGTGCACAAGTTCAAGAGGAATTGTTTTCTTGTTGTAGACGATATAAACGGTAATTTGTGGCTTTTACATTGAATACAGGTATTGCAGGGAAAATAAGAGGAATGCTGAATATGTAGAGTAGGATTTGAGTGAGCTATGATGTTCAGTATGCGGAGGTGAGGACGTCTGAGGCGGTCATGCCACCTGAAGACCGAGTTCTTGGACGCTTGAAGTGCTGATGTGCTTGTCTTGGTATTGTTAGCTTGACTTATTTTGTACAGCCCTGCATTACATGGACCGCGAAGAAGCTCCTGATTTGTCGTCAGATCCTTAAACACAAAACCCATTGGATCAAAAGCAACCGAGATATTGTTATCTTTAACTAAATGTGATATAGATATGAGATTGTGCAAAATGTTAGGAACGTGAAGTAAATGCGATAGTTGAAGCTTACGATTTGGGGTTGGAAGTATTCCCGTGCCCGAGTGAGCAATGGGAATGTTTCTTCCGTCCCCAATGAAGACACTGTCGGCTCCTTGATAGGTGGTTGGTTGGTTGAGATTATCTACCGCATTGGTCATGTGGGAGGAGGCGCCTGAATCTAAGTACCAATTGTAGGATGGAGTTTCGGAGTTAGCCGTGAGAGCATTGTTCTGTTTTGGATTGCTCGTTTGAGGGGTGTAATTAGCATTCATGCGATGCCAACATACATCCGCCGAGTGGCCTTTCTTGGTTCAGATCTGGCAAGTGATTAGCTGTTGTTGCTGTTGTCCTGATCGGCCATTCGAGTTTTGAGATTGGTTGGAGCGACCTCGAGTGCGACGACCTCGACCCTTGTTAGCGTATAGAGCCGATTGTTGACTGGTTTCGACGGAGTTGCGAGTGGCATCAGCATTGATATGGATCTCTTCACTGATAAGCATGGCATACAGATTTTCAAGACGAATTTGAGTGGGTGAGTTCCGAATGTACGTTTTGAACGAGTGATACGCCGACGGCAAACTGTTCAAGATGTAGAGAACAATATCTTCAGAATCGATTGTAGACCCAGCTGATGCAATTTGATCGACGAGCTTCTTGATTTCTGTAAGATACTGGATCATCGAGAAATTTTTCATGGATATGTGATGAAGCTCATTCTTGAGCTGAATCACCTTGGATCGACTGGTAGCCTGAAACTGGCTTTCAAGAACTTGCCAAATCTCATGTGTGGTGTCGAGATGAAGAATATATGGGAGTACAGTCGGCGAGATCGTCGAGCACAGGGCTGTCTGAAGATTCTGGTCTATGAACCGCCAGTTCTTGATCAGCGAAGCTTCGGCAGGATCAGTGGAGTCCAGTGAGAGGGTGGGTGGAGCAAGAAAGTGATCGAAATCATTGGCGCGGAGAAGCTTTGAAATCTGATGACACCAAAGAGGATATTTCTCGGATGAGAGTTGATTCGGGACGAGCGTTTTGAGATTTGAGACGACGAATTTGAGCGACTGGGAAATCTGGGAGGTTTCAGTCGGAGGAATGTGAGATTGGGCGGTTGCAGAGGATGCTTTCGGAGAGTTGGCCATCGTCCTGATCAAGAAAGAAGCAGAAGGCCTGATACCATGTAGAAGATAAAGAACAAGAAGGGAGAAGACAAAGGAAGAGAACTGGAAATAGTAAACTATTATTCATATCATTTCGTAGATACATAGCTCGTATATATAGGTAATTATACAGGATGTAAGACCACGTGTTAGCATCTGATAGGTTGCTGGAGGAGTGTACTAATAGTGTGCTATATATCCGTACAACGCTGAGATGAAAAATTTTAACTCTATCACCGCATATATTCTAGCCCGCAATAATATGACAAGAGAATATCATAAACATCTAATTTTATATTTTACAAAATCATAATAATATTTAACAAGGCTCGAACATTATTGGGATAATGACGTTAATAATTGTTAGATTGCGGTCAGTTGTATTACAGATGTTAGATTGGCATCCTTACACCGGACCAAATAAAAGTTCCTAACCCGGTGGGAGAAGAGGCAAGATTATATTAGAAAAAATACATTATTAAAATATAAATATATTAATGATATAATATGAATTACTAAAATCTTGGCATAGAAAAAAAAAAGATAAGCTAATTATATCTCTTTTATTACATGAGATCCACATTAAAACTTTCCAAATATAAGATAAGCATACATAAGCCACTAATGTTTAGTTTAATCTGATTGGCTCGTGAGATCAAGCTTAGTATGAGCAATTTGGAGCATACTTGTTTGAAGTCCGTTCAAATAAATTCAAATCGCATTAAAGCTTTATTTGTGACGGCTTTTTCATTGTTTTCTAAAATAGTTTTTAGGTATAAAGAAATTGAAACTAAAAAGCTCTTTTAAAAAGCAACAAAAAGTTGTCCTAGGCTAAAGCTTTATTTGAAACAACTTTCTTATTAAGTTTTAAAGAAACTTTCTATTACAAAATTTTTTTATTTTTGTACTATAAAGCAAGAAGCAGTAAGAAAGCCGCCCTAAATGAAGCCTAAGACAAAGGCTTCGTTTGGGACGACTTTTTTATTGCTTCTTAAAACCGAGTTTTAGTACTGTTGTGGGCTAGAATATATGCGGCGATAGATTTAGAAAGTTTTCGTCTCGACATTGTATAGATATCCAGCACACAAACATGAGAGAAATAAAAGCGTCAGGATTTTTACATGGAAATCCTGGAAAGGGAAAAAAATCACTGGGCCACGCCCAATTAAAAAAGTTTTACTAGTGTTTTTTTGAGATACAAGAGGCTGACACGTCCTTAAAATTTATGACGATCAGATTATAATGAATCACTTCTAGATTGAAATCCAGTTACAACGTCGGGCAGAGTTCCGACGTCACTTGGAGATCGGGCAAAATTCCGGCGATGATCGAGGAGTTTTTTCCCTCCTATTCTTCTTCTCTTCTCTTCTTCTTCTTCTCTTCTTCTTCTTGCTTGGGTCCCCTTTCAAAAGAAATTAGGAGTCTATTTATAGATTTATGGAGTGGCATTGCCCGTAAATAAGTGAGAGATCAAGGGTAAATGGGGAGTAGTTGGATGGACGGCCGATATTGAATCTCTTAATCATGTACCGTTAGTCAGACATTTGAAGGTCTTAATGATGTCGAAATTCGGCAATCTTGAGGTCGTTGGATTCGTCTCGTCAAGCCACTCAATTCGACTATAAGCACTCCATGTTTAAAATTTATTGTTTTAATAGTTAGCTGTCTAAACTAAACAATTTTGTTTTTAATTAAAATTTCTGCCATATTCCTAAGAAAAAGAGGCATATTTCTCCAACCGAATACCAAATATATTGAAGAATCATTTTATAATTCAAAAAAATATTTCGTCAAATATTTTATGAAAACTAAAAGAGAATGGCAAATTTATTCTAATAAATTCGAATCTCAAAGCAGATTCAAGAAGTAGTGCATTTAAGATTTCATTACGTCGCGTAACTCAGAGCTAGCGCCTGTGATAGCGCCACGTCATCCACGTGGGGGCGACCCTGCCACACTGTCCGCCTTAGCGCCTCCTCGTGAAGGAACGCGCTCAAAATCATTAGATTTTTAGTCAAAGTCAAGCTCTAAAATCCCCAAATGCAGAGCCACATTAGTAAATAGGGATTTTTACATACATAACACTTAAAACTTTGCTATTTAACTATCTAACACTAAAACTTTCATATTTACTGTTCAACCACCCAAAACACCGTCCCTCTTCAAAACTAACTCTCCGTTAACTGCACAACCGACCGACTACTTCGCTTGTTCGATTGCCTCCTGCTTCTCGGTCAGCTCTTCCTGCCTTGGTTTGATAGTGGTAATGGGAGGAATTCAGCTTTTGCGCTCAGACGACACTTCCTCGCGCGCTCGAACAGCTCTAGGTTTGCCGTTGAATCTCCTTTTCATTATCTAGGTTAGATAATACCCTTTTTCTTTTACATTTAGAACCTGACCATGAGGAAATTCCAAACCATTAAAAGCTTCCGATAAATCCATTAGGCATATCGGAAAACCGGCAAGTTGCTATTGAACGCATAAACGGCGCTCTCTGCTCTGTGAATCTGTTCTATTTTCCTCCAATGGAGGAGGTATTGTGAATCTGCTCTGTTTTCCGGTCAGCTCTTCTATTTTCCTCTAATGGAATTACCTGAAGTTGATTTGAGCTATATAGAATATGTATTGCAAGAATATCACATCTGTCAGATGAAGGTATAGATTATTACTAGATTTTTTGTTCTGATATTCGGTTGAACGTTGTGCTAATAATATGAAGGTATAGTTCCTTTCTTCTTAGAATGAACAAGAATATTGCAAATTGGAGTCGTTAACGGAAGCAATGTGGAGACGACGAGCAGCGGCGGGGAAGAAGCCTGAGCGGAGTGGAGAAGAGGAGTTGCGGCGTGGAGAATGCTGAGCAGTTTGGAGAAGAGCTGCGGCGTAGAGAGATCGACGTCGCTCGATCGAGATGATTCCTGCACAAAAGACAGGATCGGGGTTGACGGAGGTAATGGGAGTGGCATTTTAGGTTACTTATTAGTGTTTTGGGTGGCTAAACAGTAAATATGAAAGTTTTAGTGTTAGATAGGTAAATAGCAAA